GTCAAGTATCAAACCAACAAATACATAGAATCAAAAAACAGAAAATACGAAACCAGATACTGAGTTACTGACCCTATAAAATATATACAGTCCGGTCTGATCTAGTCCGACCCGACCCGGTCCGATCCGGTTCGGCAGACGCCGTCCTTTTGCTAAAACCCCATAAACCTCGGTCCATGGCTTCGTCTACAGTTTCCCTCCGCTTTCGTTCTTTACCTTCCTCCACAATCACATTTCGGTGTTTCCCACCTCCTTACACCTATTCTCCCTAACCCCTTCCTCAAAGCTTTTCTCCATACCCACTTCCAGTAAGTTCTTTGAGGCCACACCCTCGTCTCCAGTTGTCACAGAACTTTCCCTTTCATTGGATTCGGAGTTGGATGATGATTTGTCAACCGGTGTTGATGAACTACCGGAGCAGCATTTCTCCCCTGAATTTAAACTCTTCGTGTGTAGTTTTCCGTTTAGTGTTGATAACCAGCTCTTGCTCGGTTGTTTGAACGCTCTGGAAATGTGGAGGTCGCCGAGGTATGATTTACTGTTTTCAACCTAATTTTCGTTCGATTTCTTGTAGAAGAATGTAATTCTTCATGTTTCATTGATTTTGAACTTAATTCAGTTCATCATGATTTGGAGTTTGAAGTTTTTGTGTGTTTTGAGACCTAAATTTGGTGTTTCTAAACCCTTGGCTCAACTGTTCTTCCACCAGTTGAACACCTTGCCGAGAATTCACACACATTAACAACCATTATCGACATTCCCTACATCAACTTCCACATCTTCCTGTTTGTAGTTGGAAGCACTAATAATGGTGTTGCCACTTGCTAGTGTCCCTTGAATCACATTAGGGTTTCCTTTGATCACCTGACTCTAAGGATTCAGGTGAGTCGATTATTATCTACAAAGATCTCATAAATGTTCTCACAAGTTTGTTCATTAAGTAATAAATATATCCATATTCATGCTATAAGTACTTAGTATCAAAGGAATCTTGGTTACCTTATCACTACACACAATTTGAACTTTCTTATTGAACTGTTTTTCTACCATGGTAAAGAAGTTATGGAGAGTAGGTGTATCATTTGTTTTTTCACCAGCGTCATTCTGGATCCTCGATGTATATAATCTTGTGTAAAGCATATATTTTGTTAACAATTGTGACAAAATAATTATCTTTTGACATTAAGTTATAACTAACTTGAGGCACATATGTAACATTAAATGATACACCTGAAAATTTCATAGATATAACATCCAAAAATCCAGGTCTTTACGCCTGAATGTCAATACACATATTTCTTTCAAGAGTTTCTATTAATGGAGTTATCTTTGAAAATATCTAGAATATGACCTTTTTTTTTTTTTTTTTTTTTTTTTTTTTTCTAGATAGTGTCCATTCATTTCTTGTCTCCTCATATTGCGGAAGGACTCAATTTCACATATAAATAGGTAGGCTCCACTCATTAGTCATTTGTATTCATCACTTAACTTTAGCTTCTTCTATCACCATGTTTTAGTTTCTTTTGTGACCATTTTTAATTGTTTCTTTTGCAGGATATTAATGGTAGAAATATCAGATTTAGTGTCGCTATACCTCCGCAAAGGCAACAACTTTCAACAGTCTTGTGTATAAACTGTAAAGTGTCAAAATTTGTGTGTGTTTTGAGGCTGAGTACCATTTCATGAAGTAGATAAATTAGATTGGGGTGTTCATGGTGAATGGTGTACATGTATAACAATTTGGTTTGTGATTCCACCAACTGTTTGATAAAATGCCTGACAGGACCCTGTTTCAAACCATCTGGTTTGTGATAAATGCTCGTGAGTCTCAACATGTATAAAGGCGATTAAACTGTTCGAGAAAATGCTTGAGAGAAACTGTCTCATTGACAATTGAGTTTGGTAAACCTCCAACAGTTCCCTGAAAACAGTCTTCAAACCATCATATTCATATGTTTGAACCTAAAGCACGAGTCTCAGTCTGTATAAAGGCAATCAAACAAAGTGTTTGACAAAATGCCTGAGTGAACCTCTACTGTATTGGTGATTTTAATGTCATCAACCATTTTATCTGATTGAGATTTTTGCGAGTATATGTTAATTTGATTGGGTACATAAAAATGGTGGGGGTTAAAAGGTAGGCATTCAGGCCAAATTCATTGTCATTCTTGATGTTTATCCAAGTAAACAGAAATTTTGATATATACACACAACTTTATTATCAATTGTGGGGTCTATTAACACACC